CAGCATCCCGTTCCCCCCCGGCAGCCAGCACCGCTCCGGCGAAGGCAGCAGTGGGAGGAGGACCAGGATGGGGCTCCCAAAGCTCTTAATTCGCTTCACCATCGGCTCCCGGCTGCCACTTTGGAAAATTCCCGCTTGGACGTTGCTGGAAATATTGAAAGATTAAGGATCGGTTTTCCATTTTGAGCTCAAATCTCCCTTGTTTGTTTGTTTGTTTTTTTCCCCCTACCCTGGAAAGCAGACAGCGTTCTGCTCCAGAGGAATCCTCAGCTGGGTGGAAGGGGGGACTCCTCTTCATCACGAAATTGGAAGAGCATTTGCAGTTTTCCCTTTTCATCAAGAAGCTGGAAAAGCGTCTGCCAAACGGCAGTTTTCCCCCTTATTTTCACTCCCCAGGAGGGGCCCGATCCTGCGCGGGGGTCAGCAGCATCCCTAAGGTGGGGGGACGCACAACACAACTCCTCCAGCTCCTGTGCTCGGTGCCTCGTTGGGCAACGGGATTTTTATAGCAATGACCATTTTGCAAACTTCCAAATCAGACCTGTTTGGCTTTGTTGGTTTTTTTCACCCCAAAATGTCTAAAATGCCCCCAAAATTGGCCTGGGAACACCGCGCCAAAGACACCGCGCAGTCACCGGCAACAGCAAAACCAGAGTCCTGAATTCACACCTAATGGCTCAGCACTGATTGATAAATAAAAATAAATCCCCCACGGGGATTATCCGGCTGTCAGGACCCCGGCATGTGTCTCCATGGAATTAAGGGGTGTTTAATTAAATATACTTCTCATTAGATTAATTGTGTGTCCGAGGAAAGGAGCAGAAAGCTTCTCGCTGGGCAGCGCCGTCCCTCCGAGAGCGCGGCACGAAGAGGAGGGGGGTGCTGGGGGCTCAAGAGAATAATAATTAACTGGTAATAAGAAAGGCCTGGGAAAGGGGAGGGCGGCGGAGCAGAGGTCGGCAGCGTAAGCACAGGGCTGAGCCAGGAGCCCCAGCCCCTCATCCTCTGGCGATGCAGATCCTGCTCTCCGCTTGGAAAGAAAAGGAAATAAAATAAAATAAATAAAAAATAAAATAAAAATTAAATAAATAAAAAATAAAAGAAATTAAATAAAAAATACTAAAAAAATTAACAAAATCAATAAAAATTAAAATGAAATGAAATAAAATAAAAAATGAAATAAAATAAAAAATACAATTAAAAAAAATAAATAAAAATAAAACAAAATAAAATGCCCTGAGCCACCTTCCCAGCCTGAGCGGGGTCATCCCCCCTCCACCCCAGTGCCCCCCGGCCCCATTCCGTGGGGAAATCCTAGAAGAAGCAGCATCACCGGCAGCGGGACTGGGGACGCTCCTCTCCGAAAATCCAGCCAAGAGCATCTCGACCCGCACCACGGCCGGCGGCGCTGGGGGAAGACTTGAAGAGACGTCAGGCAAACGGCACCACCCCGACCCCGGAGCGAAACCCGCCAAGAACACAGCCAGAGGCCAAACTGCTTATTTAAAAGGTTTATTTAACTTTTTAATTTGAGGTAAAATACTTTTTTTGTTTTGTTTTGTTTTCTTTCAACTTCCATAACAAAATACAGAGCTATCAGATACCCCTGGAAAAAAATATGTATATTATACATATATTTCTATAACATTACATCATATATATATAATATATATATGCAAACTTTTTTGTTTTTTTGTTGGGTTTTTTTTTTTTGAAGACTTTATAGAAAGTGGAACGTCTAAAGGCACTGCACAATGGAGTATTTAAAGACTACTTTACATTGGTATGTACATATACACACACGCGTTCAAGCCCGCTCCCCGAGAGCTCGAGCTGACCCCGTCCCCGCCGCACGCGTATGCATCCACACTAATCCCTGCTGAATCGATTCTAGTAAAGTCAAAGAACATGCCTCAAGGAAAAGTGATTTTTTTTTTTAATAATAATAATAAAATAAAATAAAAAAAAACAACCCACAACTTTCTAGCGGTAAATATTTTTCTCCTTAAAAGCACTCTAAAAAAAAAAAAAAATAATTTTTTTTTATAAACAATCTGTTTACGATTATTTCAAACCAAAAG